GTAATGACATATCTTACAGCATATATTTAGCTGTATAGCAATTTCTATATTCTTTTTACAACTAATCAGGCATTATGTTTTCCAAAGACTTTGTTCTTATAGAAACCTGAATTAGTTTAATTACCATATTATATGTGGTCTGACTCAAGGAATGCTACACCATTGAAGATGTGAAACTTTTTGAAACTTACATTTTGATTACTGACACATCAAGTAGGGAAGTAGAAAAATAGATGAAACACTAGCATTGAATAACAAATGAAAGCTAACAAATCATTACTAAAGATTTGTAATAGCCATGTTGACATGTTGGTATGGCAGTGATTTTTTTCTCTCTCTCTTCTTACTAAAAAAAGTAGCTTTGCTGTTTAATATCAAATATTTTATCTTTCAAAACCAAGTATAGCATTATGGATGAGGTATATACCACATATGGTAAAAGTATTTATTATTGGAAGGAGGAATCTTGTGGTGATTTTGTAGGAAAGGCATATAAGAATTTTTTTTTTTATTATTATTAAATTAATTTAGTTCTGATTTGATATTTTAGTATTTCGTTTTCCAGTGCAACAAATGCTGCAGAATTTTTTAATCTAATTTCCAGGTTTTCATGGCAAGTGCAGATAAAACAGTCAATTGCTGGGACCTTGGCAGTAACCAAAAAGTCCAAGTTGCTCAGCATGAAGCTCCTGTCAAGACAGTACACTGGATCAAAGCCCCAACATATTCTTGTATGATGACAGGCTCATGGGATAAGACACTGAAAGTGAGTTGTAAATTAATTTTCTTCGTATTCCCCTTTCTTTTTGGTAACTATATAAGTTAGCATGTCAGATGATAAATGAAGGGAATATTTTGGTGGATTTCTCCTAAAGGTTTTTAAGACTGACAAACAAATTCAGAAAAAAAAAGAAAAAAAAAAAAAATTATATATATATACACATACATGTATCATTATTACCTGTATCATTCTCATTATTTTGTAACTGATAGTTATTGTTATTACAATCATGGTTCACACTTAATCTGATGGTGACGGGCGTAGAATCGGTTTTCTGGTGCTCCTCCCAGGAAAGGCAAATAGCTGCCGGTGTTTCCTGTCAGTATGTTCAACGTTTGTGGCCAATCTGGCCCTCCTGCTTAGAAAAATTTCAGTGCTCGGCCATGCAGTTTACAGAAAATGGTTACAACCAATTTTACTGTACATTTGTTTGGAGGCTTATCTTAGCCATATCTTATGTCTTATGAAGATCATCATTGGCTTTTATGTGTGTGTGTGTGTAAAAGAAAAAGAAAATTTATCGACAGCAATACTTTCCTGCAGTTCAAGAATGCAGTTCAAGAGTCCCCAAAAGCCCATAGTACTCTGTGATAGAAAGAGAAGCAACAGAGAGAGATTTCATATCCTGCACATCACACTCTCCTTCATTCTATTGTTCTGCCTTGAGCAGAGTTTGCAGTTTCTTGTTTTTCCTCATCTGGCTTCTCCTGCAGGAGGATCCCTCAAGCTCTAGCTTGAACTGTAAGACAATTTCCCTCCAAGCACCGTGTGTATGTACTACAATATCCAGAAGGTAGAAGAAAACGTTGTACCATCTTACTGTCTTCCTCGCTGCTGGATATGACACTATGGTCACTAAGGTCCACAGCCTTTATCACAACATTGAAATCTATTGCATCTTTTGCTTTTGTTCTGTTCAGTGCCCTGTTGGTTCTCACTATGTAGACCGCATATTGATAGGCTGCTTGTGTATCCACTGTAGCGTCATAATGTCTGTCAGGGTGTTGCAACAGACCACAATTCCTTGCTCCTGCAAATCTGTTGATGTGTATTTACTGTTAGTGCACTCCTTGCCAAAAGCATTTGTTTTATGTTCTTGTAAGTAAAAGAAGAGTGAGGGAGAAGAATACCAATTGTAGCTGTGCTGGCAGTGACCTACAGCCCCCTTCCATGTAGAACTTAACCCAATGGCGCCGGGTGTACAAAACAAAAAAAAAAATTCTACGCTTAAGCAAACAAAGGCGGCGCGCCGACTTTGAGCGCGTGAGTAGGGGACATCAGCCCGAATCACTGGCTCGCCGCGCTTTGGCGCGCCGCCGGCTCGTTTGGCTGCACACCAGCTTTCGAGCATTATGTTTGCACGCCGATCAGCGTCACCCGGCACCAAGGGGTTAAAGGTAGTGATGTATCATGCCACAGCTGCATAACAGCTTTTACACTTTATCCCACTATGTACCTTTTACTAAGGGCATACTGTAGTCCAGACACACCGTCTGGACTACAGTACCCCGAAAGGCGCCATGAGATTGGGGATGAAGAAAAGAAAAATGCCTGGCTAGGATGTCAAGGACAGGCTTCAACTTCCAGAACCTCATGTGTTCGGCCTCATTGTCAGTGAAATACAGAGCTGATATGAGGGTATCACAACAATCCTTTGACCATTAATCCAGTGAGGAGGTTGTGAGACCAATTGTCTCACATGTGGGGCCAGGGCTGAGTCCCATCAGGAATCACATGGGAAGATGTGCTAGTAGGCATATCTGCAGGAACAAGACATGACATTGTAAAAAACATTGTAAAAAGCATGTTTGCAAGAGGTTGTAAGAAAATGTTTTCAAATCATCAAATGAGTAACAGAAAGAGAGTTGCTTACCAGTTTGTCTCCTTGACAATCTTACTCAACATTTCCTAAGACAGGAATTTGCAGAATACATAGAGGAGACCAGAAGCCTCATCCAGGTCTGGAAACTTGGCCCCAGGAGAAGGCTGAAAAGTCAAAGGTCTGTGGGATGCTCTCCCTCCTCCTCTAGGCAGTGGAGGAGGTACTGGGGGCATTGCAATCCCATCAACACTTGCTGTAGATGGCGAGTGATTCAACCAAGTCCATCAATGTATTGTGCAGAGAAGGGAAGTCAATAACTGATTCTGAGTTGGACAGCTCGGAATCATTCTCTTAGTCACTGTCCTGGTCTGAGTCATTACCATGGGGACAGGAGAATCTTTAAGAATCTAACAAAAATATGATCTATTTGTAAAGATAATAAAACTGCAGAAACACCAGTCAGGATGCAAAAGGAGCCAGGTGATGTCTTTTACAATTCAAAGGAGGGGAAAAAGCTCTCCTGAATGATCCTCTGTCTTTCTGTGTTAGAAGATAGAAATGGAAAGATTGCATTGAATCTCAGCTAATGCTGAGATCAGTTTCATGTTTTTAGTAGGAACAAGTAATAATTTTGGAGTGAATAATTTATTAATATATCCTTCCAGTTCTGGGATTTACGGAACCCACAGCCCATCATGACCATAAATTTACCTGAGCGATGCTACTGTGCTGATGTTGAATACCCAATGGCAGTTGTAGGAACTGCCAACAGGCACCTAATTGTTTACCAGCTTGAGGGACAGCCACAAGAATTCAAGCAGATTGAATCCCCACTCAAATATCAGGTATGAGGAAATATTTTGTTATCCTTTAGAAATGTTTGCCCCTACCCATCTCTACATTTTTATGTCTTTTGCAGCATGCTTTGTGATTTATATGGATTTGTTGCCTCTGTCTTTAACCCAATGCTGATGGGCATGTACTTTATCAATTTATTTACCCTTTTCTTGATTTACAAAAATATTTTACGTTATCTTATTATAGTAATTATAATGTTTATAATAAAAATAACACCATTGATATTCATATCACTAGCAATAAATATGTGTTTCCCGCCATTTCAAGAAAAGGTGAAATTAGGTAAAGTCACAAGGTCTACTAATTGATTCCTTTGTGGCTAAGCACCAGCAGAGCCATCTATGGGCAGAGACATTTCACAAAAAAAAAAATATATATAATTATACGATTATTGAATATGTTCGTGATTATTTGAGAATGCACTTAACCCCATACCGACAGGCCACACGCTGAGGCATCATAACAAACCGCTCAGTCTGTGGAGTGCGGCTGTACACTGCTTCAATGTGCCAAAGTGCTATGAGTCAGGGGATTGGCTTGATGTAGCGAACTCCTGTGCTCAAAATTGGCTTGTTGAGCGTAGTTTTTCTTCTTCTTCTTCAGGGTTAAATTCATTCTCATTTATTTACTTTTTAATATATAAACCCCAAAAGTCCAG